GCCGCTCCCTGCAGGGCGAGTTCGTGCACGACGACGTGTGGGCGATCGTGAACAACCCCGACCTACGGCCCGGCACCCCGCTCCGCTGGAGCATCTTCACGAACGACTTCTGGGGCAAGGGCATGGCCGAGAACACCAGCCACAAGTCCTACCGGCCGCTCTGCGTCCTCACCTTCAAGTGAGTCCCCACCTCGCGCTCGCCGCGGTTCCAATCTCTTCACTCCCCCCACGCGTGCTGGGCGAAGTTGCGGGACCGGGTTGGGGGGCGTTTCTGTTCTTGCCGCCCCTTCCCCTCCACGCCTCGCTCCTCTCCAGACTCTCCACGCCGCTCTGTTCCGTGGACCTCGGTCCCGCTTCTCTGGGCTCCTGGGCGGTTCGGGAGGCGCGGGCTGGGGAGTTGGGATCGAGTTTCTCAAGAGTCTGCGCTCCGGGCGGGTTCGTCTGTCGGAACAAGACTGGGAGAGGGGCTGGGGGAGCTGTCTCCGCACGACCCACCCCTGCTGGAACGGGGTCAGGGCAGACCAGTGCGGGACCCCAGGAGTTCCGAATGGTTGGCTGTGGTGGCGATGCTTCCAAGTTGGGAATTTCTCCGAGGCGTTTAGGCAGCTTTGCAGATGGGGACTGTCAGTGCCTGTGGGGTCGCGTTCCGAGGAGATGAGGTGGGAGCCCCTGAATTGCTAGGGCTGCCTGAGTTTGGGGAGGAGCAGGGGAGCGCGCAGAGGATCTTTCCCGCCCCCGGCCCCCGGCCTGGGCTGCTCCCAGAACCTCTCCAGTCAGCGGGAAAAACCCCGATTGTAGACTTTAAAAGGTGCAAAGCAAAGGAATGCAGAAGCGTGGGAGCCTCTGGGGATCCTGGCGTCCCAGTCGAAATAGTTTTTCTTTTACAACCTCGGAGTCATGATTCAGCATTTCTGGTGTGAATAACGTGTAAAAGGGGACCCGAGGGAACGCCAGTGTTTTGTAGGGTGAGATTTTCTTGAATTTCAAAGAGAGCTAGCTTCAGACGGAAGGGGCGAAGGGCTGCTGTGAGGGAAGTGCTATTTCATACATCATGAGCTTGACTCGGCCGCTTCTAATTTGACTCAGCATCGGAGCTGGTCATGTGTCGGATAAAACTGTTGAAATCAGGTTGGTTCTGTATCATCAGCGTTCTGAGCCTTTTCCAACGGGTGTAATCTGAACCCTTCTTTATGGTAACGATTATTTGAGACGGGATCCGCAGTTTGAAAAGCCTGCCCGGGCCTGGCGGCGAGGGTCCCTTGACAGGTGTCTCTGAAGACTTAGAAAAGGAAACCATAGCAATTGGCAACAACCCATGGGCTTTTGACTTAATTATTTCCACTGCAAGTTTAATGTTTTAAGGGGGGTGAGGAAATTGCACATTTGACTCTGAAGAGAATATTTCATAAACATTTGTCCTCTTGGAAAGTGGTTTTGGTTTTCAGCTGAAAGTCTTTTGCCCATGAATTGTTGCCAATTGCTATGGTTTCCTTTTCTCAGTCATCAGACACCTGTCAAGAGACCTCACCCTGGCCTCCAGCTAGAGTTGCTCAGTACTTTCAGTTTTCCAAATGTTTCTTTAAAATCTGCTAAGATGGCACAAATATAAATGTTTAACTTCCAGACTGACCTGATTTTTAATCTGTTACACTGAGGGCTGGTGGTTAATCTAAAGTGTGGAAGCTCACAGCATGAGGCGTGCGGGACTTACAACTGCCACGGAGACCATCTAGGTCCCTGGCCTGAGCATTTTCCACTTAGAAAAGGTCAGTGCCAAATGCTTCTCCCAGTTGGTGGAGGGTGAGGAAGAGGGTTTTCACTTCTTGACTTTGTAAAAAGTTTTTTTTTCTTTTTTCCTTCCTTCCTTCCTCTCTTCCTTCCTTCCTCCCTCCCTCCCTCCCTCTTTTCTTTCTTTCTTTCTTTCGTTCTTTCTTTCTTTCTTTCGTTCTTTCTTTCTTTCTTTCGTTCTTTCTTTCTTTCTTTCGTTCTTTCTTTCTTTCTTTCGTTCTTTCTTTCTTTCTTTCGTTCTTTCTTTCTTTCTTTCGTTCTTTCTTTCTTTCTTTCGTTCTTTCTTTCTTTCTTTCATTCTTTCTTTCTTTCTTCCTTTCTTTCTTTCTTTCTTAATTCATGCAAGAGATGGCAGGGGCAGAAGAGAGGAGTGTAGGAATTGAGTAGACCATGAAGCAAGGCCTTTGATGAAGAGGAAAGTTAGTAGGGATAGATATGGCAGAACAGAGGCAAAGGAGAAGGAGAGTTGGGGGTAGGATGGGCAGAGAGCATCTCTTGGAATCACTGATTATAAGCAGCAGCTTGGTGTCTAAGGTGCATTGCTCTTTGTATGGTGCATCTTACTGGCTATGTAATGTATACTTCAAAAAACAATTATTTTGAGAAGATCGAGTTGCAAATCTGGGGTGCAACCGAGCACTAATGGAAAGGGATGGGTGCCTCTTCAGAAACAGAAGTGAACTAAACTTTCTGTACTCATAGGTGTTGATTTAAATAAGACCTGGAGCCCAGGTTGTGGGCCTGATACCCAGTAGGGGGTGTGCAGCAGGCAGCAGATCAATGATTCCCTCTCATGGATGTTTCTATTCTTCTCCCTTCCTCTCTTTCTAAAATCAATAATAACACACTTAATAAATAAATAAATAAATAAATAAATAAGACCTGGACGTTTCCTTTACACAGTCATCTGAGGTGAAACTGATGCGATAGCCTAAAGCCAGGCATGTATAAAGGATGACATAAACCATCCTAGACCCACACAGCTCTAAAGATTGTTGCAAGGAAGGGCACAGAAAATCACACTTATTAAGCTATTCAGTGTGAACCAAGCATTGGCCTTTATGATTTTTATTTTATGGAGTTGGTAAAAACACCAAGTGGCCTTTTACATATGTTCAAACTACTATAACTATATCTAAGTTAGGCCTGTGTGAACAAAGATCTTAGAGAATTTAAAACCACTGTATGAATTTTATTTATTTATTTATTTTTATTGTGGTAAGAACACTTAATATGAAATCTACCACCATAAGTTTTTAAGGGTACAGCACAGCATTGTTAACTGTAGACACAATGCTGTGCAATAGACGCTAACACATTTCTCTCGAGTAATTGAAACTATGCACCTGTTGGACAGCAACTGCTGTCTCTCCCAACCCTACTGTTGGCAACTACCATTTTCCAAGCTGTTTCTATAAGTTAGACTGTTTCAGATGCCTCACAAGTGGATGTCTGCAAATGGCAGATTTTACTTAGCATAATGTCCTCCAGGTTTATTTATGTTGTGACAGATGGCAGGATTTCCTTCTGCTTTTTAAAGGCTGAATAATCCATTGTATGCACACACCACTTTTCTTTATCCATTCATTTGACATTGGACACTTCAGTTGTTTCCATATCTTGATTATTGTGAATAATGCTGCAATGAACATGGAAGTGCATATATCTCTTTAAGACCCTGACTTCAGTACCTTTGGATATATACTCAGAAGTAGGATTGCTGGGTCATATCATAATTATATTTTTAATTTTTAAGGAACTTCTATCCTGTTTTCTATAGTGGCTGTACCATTTTACATACCTACCAATAGTGTACAGCAAGCATGTCAAGCTCACGGGCTGCATGCCTCATTTATTTGGCCCGTGTTAGCCTTTGAGTTTAACATGCTTGGTGTACAGGGTTCCAATTTCTCCACATCTTTGCCAACACTTATCCCCACCATCCTAACAGGTGTGAGGTGATACCTCATTCTGGTTCTGATTTGCATGATTAAGTTTTGATAATTAGTGATGTTTAGCATGTTTTCATATATCTGTTGGCCATTTGTCTGTGTTCTTTGGAGAAATATCTATGTCCACCCATTTTTAAATCAGATTATTTGTTTTTTGTTCTTTGAATTATAAGACTTTCTTACATATTAATAACATGACAGATATATGGCTTACAAATATTTTTTCTCCTATCCCATAGGTTGCCTTTTTATTCTGTGGGTTGTTTTTTGTGCTATGCGGAGGCAGAGAGGCTTTTTTTGTTTAGTGTAGTCTCATTTGTCTAATTTTGCTTTTATTGCTTGTGTTTTTTGATGGCATATCTAAAAAACCATTGCCAAGCCTAAAAACCCTATGTTTTCCTTCCAGAAGTTTCACAGTTCCAGGGCTTACATTTAAATTTTTAATACATTTTGAGTTGGTTTTTGTGTGTGGTGTAAGATATGGGCCCAATTTTATTCTTTTCCATATGGACATTCAATTTTACCAGTTCCGTTTTTTAAAGACTATTCTTTCTCCATTGTGTATTCTTGGCACCCTTGTTGAAGATCATTTGACCCTATAGGCCTGGGCTGATTTCTGGGCTCTCTGTTCTTTTCCTTTGGTCTATTTGTCTGTTTTTATGCAAGTACCATACTGTTTTAATTAGTGTAGCTTTGAAGTATATTTTGAAATCAGGAAGTGTGATGCTTCCAGCATTGTTCCTCTTTGTATATTCAGTATATTTGTGGTTCAGTATGAAATTCATGAGTTTTTTTTCAATTTTTGTAAAAAAAAAAGCTATTGGGATTTTGATAAGGATTACATTGAAACTATAGATGACTTTGGGTAGTATGGGCGTTTTAACAATATTAAGTCTTCTCATCCATGAACATGTGATGTCTTTCCATTTATTTATGTATTCTTTAATTTTTTTCATCAATGATTTGTGGTTTTAAGTGTACAAGTTTTTCACCTCTTTGGCTAAGTTTATTTTTATGTGTATGTTATTCTTTTTGATATAGTAAATGGAATTTTTAAAAAATATGTTTTATTGATTTTAGAGAGAGAGGAAGGGAGAGGGAGAGACAAAGAGAAAAACATCTATGTGAAAGCTGAGCATTGATTGGTTGCCTCCTGCATGCGCCCTACCAGATATCGGATATAGAATCTGCAACCCCGGCATGTACCCTGACCAGGAATCAAACCAGCAGTTTTTCGGTGCCCAGGACAGTGCCCAACCAAATGAACCACACCAGCCAGGGTGAAGCTGTTTTTTTGAATTTGAATTCATATCCTGCAACTGAATTCATGTATTATTTCTAATTACTTTTTGGTGGAGGCTTTAGAATTTTCTAAATATAAGATTATACTATCTGTCAACAGACATAATTTTACCTCTTCTTTTCTGATTTAGGTGCT